AATTACTTATTGGTTTTCATCAGACTATGGGCCATCATATCAGGGTCATCTCTATAACCCCTTCACTCAGTGCAAGGCTAATTGATCCGTTCATTAAACAAATATTTTTTTTTATTTAATTAATTAATTAATTTATTCATTTTTTTGAGAGGGAGTTTTGCTCTTGTTGCGCAATCTTGGCTCACTGCAACCTCTGCCTCCCGGGTTCAAGCGATTCTCCTGCCTCAGCCTCCCAAGTAGCTGGGATTACAGACCTGTGCCACCACGCCTGGCTAATTTTCATACTTTTAGTAGAAAAATGGTTTGGATTTTTGTAGAGACTGGGGTTTCACCATGTTGGCCAGGCTGGTCTCGAACTCCTGACCTCAGGTGAGCCGCCCACTTCAGCCTCCCAAAGTGCTGGGATTACAGGCATGAGCCACTGTGCCCAGTCTATTTATTTTTTTGAGACAGAATCTCCCTCTGTTCCCCAGGCTGGAGCTCAGTGACGCGAACTCTGGCTCACTGCAACCTCCACCTCTCGGGTTCAAGCGATTCTCATGCCTCAGTCTCCTAAGTAACTGAGATTACAGACCTGTGCCACCACACCTGGCTAATTTTTGTATTTTTAGTAGAAACATGGCTTGGCCATGTTGGCCAGGCTGGTCTCGAACTCCTGAGCTCAAGTGATCTGCCCCTGTCAGCCTCCCAAAGTGCTGGGATTATAGGCCTCAAGCATCCTCCAGCCTTGGCCTCCCAAAGCACTGGGATTACAGGGGAGCCTGGCCATATCATGCCTCCTTTTTTTTTTTTTTTTTTTTTAAGACAGGGTCTGGCTCTATCGTTCAGGCTGGAGTGTGCCCATTCAATCAACAGTCCATTCAATCAACAAATCTTTATAGAGCATTTGTGCCAGGCTCTGGCTTAAGCATTGGGGATACACCGGTATATAAAAAAGACGTGAGGGCTGGGCACAGTGACTCAAGCCTGTAATACCGACACTTTGGGAGGCTGAGGCAGAAGGATCGCTTGAGCCCAGGAGTTTGAGAGCAGCCTGGGCAACGTGGCAAAACCCTGTCTCTACAAAGAAAAAAAAAT